AACAACAACAACAACAACAAATTTCACATGCACTGTGATTCAATGTAGGATATTATGTAATTGAGAATTCCTGGATTTAGAAAACGGTAAAGCGCTGAAAAATAAATTGTTCTTCTCAGAGCCTCAGGTATGTTCTTATTTAGCACGTTATCAATACTTTCATTGGCAAATTTCAGGCTGAACTTTCTTATAAAAAAGCTCTTATGACAAAAACAAACAAACAAAACAAAAAAAGGTGCACCGAACTTCCTTATATTATAAACAAATCCCTGAAATAATAACGGAAATATACTTTCTACCTCACCCTGTTTTTCTTAGATAATAATGCAACTAACTGTCCGAACTCTAATTTCCCGATCAACCATCTTTAAGGTGTGGAATGTTCCCTCAGTCAAAGCATGTTGATCACCGTAAATTTCTTCTCTAATGATCAGAGCCTTCTCATAGTATTGTAGTAGGAAACTTGGGGGAACAGTAATCCTCTACAATGAACTCAAACTTTTTCTCTCTTTAAACTGTTTTAATGAAGATCACTTGTTGCTCAACTTTTCACAATCAAGGCTAGTAATATCTCTCCGACAAGACCTAGTTACAGCGCCTTTTATCCTGACTGAATCTGAAGGCTGCCAATCTTACTCAAACTTAAAATAATCCTACTTCAGTAAAAATTCGATTGGCTATAAGAATTATTAACATATTTTCCTTCGCGGTTGTGTCGTAATAGGAAAATCAGTTAAAACTCCAAAATTCACTTTTGTCCAACAAATGTCCAGTCAAAACAGAACAGTCAGACAGACACAAAAATTACAAGGAATATTTACATGAATGAAAATCACATATGTACAATATCGTTACTCTAAGATGTACGATTTGTCAATTCGCGTACAGTGCTTAAGTTGTCGTTTAAAAGCTTCTTGTTGGAATATCGTACAAGGTTATTAGTCCCGCCTTTTTCCATATATTAACTAAAAGATTGTTTACAAATCTCTAGTCAAAAATCAATTAGCAAGGTATTTACATTGCGGAAGCCTTTAAACAAAGATATCACTAATTACAACTTTTAGCAAGTAAATTGAACTAGGCAGTAATAAAAGCTTGTTTATCACAACGAGTTAACTAAGATGGTTGGACACTGAGGTTTTCTTTGGAAGCGCACTAAAGGTTCGATCAAACCACTAAAAACGCGAAAGATAGCAAAAATTGGAATGTCCAGGAAAAGACAAGTTTCTGAAGATTTAGGAAAAACCAATTAAGCCAATTAATGTAAGAGAACAAACAAATGTCGTTAAATTTACCAGACCAATTAGATTAAGAACCTCTGTGTGGGTTCAGTTTAAATAAAAAGCATCATTTCTTAATTGAATAGCGGCACATGTGCGGAGAGAAACCGACGTCCAAAAGAGCATCTTTACAAAGGAAGGCCAAACCTTATTAACGAAAAGCAAATAGCTTTTGTAAGCCCAGTACATTCTAGTAGAACGTATTTATATAACAATTCAAAACACTCTACTCAATGATAATAATAATTAAAATATATTAAAATAGCAATGCTTGATAATTCAGTAACATTCATTATTCGAGAAAGGCATTTTCATTTTGGTATCAACGTATACCCAAAAATATCGTTTTACAGTATTCTTTAGCTTCACTGTACTGGCCAAGGTTTCTGTAAACAACTCCCAGATTGTTGTAACTTGCTGCTACCTTACTATGGTGTTCACCGTAAATCTCTTTTCTAATGATCA